GTTTGAAGGCATAGCGCGCTCGGAATTGCGTTTTCCGGGGGTAAGTGGTCCCCAGACCCAAAATTTACTGGAACTCAATCATTTTTCGTTCAATCCTGTTCTCTATAGGCTCAAAAGTTTCTTTTAGATGTGCCCTATTATCTCCAGCAAACGCCTTGCCGATATCTGTGCATTCACCGTCGGAATCGCCGATCTTGTGTCGGACAGGGGGCATGGTGCGCCTCGGACCATGGTGCGCTTTTTTTTCTTCCTTTTGATCTCTTTCTTTTTTGCGTTTCCGCACTTGTTGCACTCCATAGAGTGCGTCTGCAATGATTCTGGGGTACGAGCCGCCTTTCCTCGGCGAGAATTCGACTTTTTGGCTGAGGGGTGCTCCCTTTCCCTCAAATACCGCGCACTCGAAACTTTGACGTTTACGGTACGGTTTTAGGAGCCGTTCCTCATTCCATACACTAATGCGACCTCGTAGATGTGCTAACATCATTGGACAGACCAATACCGGGCACGCCATGGCCGTTTCTGGTGGTGAGTGGCCCCCAGACCCAAAATTTGCCGAAAATCGATCAATTCTCGTTCAATCAAGCTCGCGATGGGCTCAAAAGTCTCGTACGTATGTGCCCTATCAACTCCACCAAACGCCTCGTCGATATCTGCGCGTTCGCCGTGGGAATCGCCGATCTTGTGTCCGACGGGGGGCATGGTGCGCCTCTGGCCGTGGTGCGCTTTTTTTTCTTTCCTTTTGACCTCTTCTTTTTTTGCGTTTCGGCACTCGTTGCACTCCATAGAGTGTGTCTGCGACGAGTTTGGGGTCCGCGCGGCCTTTTCTCGTCGAGAATTCGACTTTTTGGCGGAAACGGCGCCCCCCCGGCCTAAACAGCCCCCCTTCGATTTTTTTCCTAACGACGTGCGGTTTTTTTTGTACGGGGCGACCGCCCCCATCGAGGGCGTCCCGTAGATGCCCTCAGGTCGTCGGTCGGGGCCGTATCGCGTCGGGAACGGGCCCAAGCGCACCATGGTGCATTATGCCCGTCGCAGACTGTTAGTTCTCCGTCGTCTCTGGGCCGCTAACTCTCTAGATCTCGTATGCGTCGGAGCTGCCATTCTTGTCTCACTACCTCATTTCGTTCGGGCCCTTCGCTCTCGTCGGGCATTCACTGGACTCTTTGGTGTATGGGACGATTGGAGCTATCAACCACTACCAATCTTAGGAGAAGGTAATACGGAGAAGAAGATCAAGAAGAGTGGACGACGACTGGCAGGTATACTGAGGACGGTCGCCAGCGTATTGTTATGGACGCCAATGGGCACTGGATTGGATTTGGGACAGAACGAATTTCACTCGCGGGGTATTCCGTCTTTGTCAAGGTCTGATTGTACTGTTCAGCTCGCGTCCCAGTCATCATGGTTGCCGGCTACATTATCGTTGTCATTGTGTGCATCATCACGAATGCCCCTCTCATAGACAACCCTAACCGCGCGGGTACGCATTTGATCACCTGTCCTCTTCCTCTTCGCTACGAAGAACTCTCTGCTCTCTTCTATTCTCGGTCCCGGCGACAGCTACGAGAAACTCAACGACGTCGACCGCTGGTCTGGTCGTCGTCTCTTCCTCGGTGCAGTCATTCACGGATCCCTACACTCCCCGCGTACGCAGATTCGGAACATCCCATACAACAATCCATCACCTCAAGCCATTCCAGCGCTAGGATTTCCGTCGTCGAAACCGTACGCACGATTCCGTTCGCATTTCGTTGAATCCGGATTTGTCGGCGTCGGCCAGGGGCGAGACACCGTATTGGCCTCCACTCGGCAATCCGTCACCTGCACCTTCGTCGTTGTCGAATGGGTTTTTGACGCCACAGCCGAGGTTGGGATATTCCCATGCGCACACGAGGAGTTCGTTCAACGGGTGGATCAGTCTTGGACCGAGTGCGGATAGCGTTGGTTCGATCATGCAGAATAGGGGAAGGACGACGGATGGAGGGAGAGAAGGATGGCAGCTCCCAGATGAGAGAACAACGGACGTGCCGGTGGAGGGAAATACACTGTTGAATCAGGGGAGGATGTTGGTGTATCTGAGGGGGGTCGAGTGCGCGAAGCGTCAGTGATTCCTCTCGTTCGTTGGTTTAGATGTTCCTTTTTTTGGCGCGGGTAATTGTTCGCATTTTGGTAGGATCTCCGCGGGGAGTTGCTGGGGGAATTTCAAGTATTGAGTGTTGAGCGTTTGATAGTGACAGTTGGGGAGCTGGAGAGCCCAAGCGCAAGAGGAAAGAAGAGGATCCTCAGGATTTTATTTCGATCAGGGACAGTGACTGTTTGGGGGATTCACGAATGTACTGCGACCCATCTCATTAAACCCTCAGAGATGTCGCTAACGCTATCGTTCTCATTATCCCTCCCTACCGGGGCTTCTCAAAGCCTACCTTTGATAACGATGCCAATTGAAGAGCCGGCACGATTCTCGCTCAAGGGTGCAAAATGGCTTCTCTTCCTTGCTGGCTGCATCTATGGCGACTTCGACGGCCACTTATCGCTTTCTTCCGCCGGCGATGCCATCGACTACGATGCACCCCTCCATGCTACGACCTATCACTTCGTTTCGGATAGTGAGGCTTTCCGTGTCGCTTTTCCAGCACGATCATTGTTGACAAGATTTTCACTATACAGAACAGCCCCGATTCCTCGACCCCAAGCTGACGGATGCCAGAACGTCCGATAAGTCAGCGACCCCTAGGACTGGCGCTTTTCGAGATGAACTCCTCGCTCGCGATGGTCATTGTCTGCTTAATGACACCAAGCCCGTGAACGAGTGTGATGCTGCTCATTTACTCCCACATGCCAAGGGCGACGACGTACGCCTCCTTCTCTTTTACCCGTTATTTTCTCTTAGGTGTTCAACCCTTTCAATTCAGTACATCACTGCTGCGACTGCATTTCGGAGCGATAACGAAGAGGTCATTGAAAACATCGACGATCCACGTAATGGCTTTTTCCTCGCGAAAGAACTCCACATCCATTTAGGGCTGGGTCATATGGCCTTCCTCATGGTATGTTATCCCGTCTTCATTGAGTTACCTGCATCTGCTAAGCAGTACCTCAGACTCCGAATCCTGTACTTGGCGTTAACGACATCAGCCCCTCCCCAGTTGAGCGCCCGGGCGATACCCGTGTCACAGTTCACTATCTTCGAACCCACAGGTACACCCTTGATCATGGCTACGATCTCAGGCTCCCCGGCAACGGCAATGATCTTGGCAACTTTCCTCCCTCTCTCATTCTTGATCAGCTCTATGCGGCCTCATTTGTCGCATACTGGGGAAATCAAGATTCTATCGGACGCTGTTGGAAATCAGCTTGTGCAGCTCGACGTTGCGAGACTTTTCGCGAGGTTTCCACGGTCAGGCTGAGTCAGCCGCGCCACCCGGCTCCGCCACTTTCAGTACATTGTAGAATATTCTAGTTACTTTTGTACAGTACTATAAATACAGTGAATGTAGGACTCGTTGAGGGCATCGAGTTGCCCTAACACGAGCCAGTCTCACCACTCAGCGTGATTGCAACCTTTCCCTCTCTCTCTCGCTCTCACTCGTCCTCTTTTCGTGCCACTCATCACTTTCCCACGAAAATCCAACACAACTCGATCTCGGTCCCGTCACCGATCACCCGACGCGCGCTTCCCTGACCCCCATCTTATCTTATCGTCCTCGCCTCTCTTCATCCCATGTCCTCGAACTATCGCCTCATCGTCGAACCCCTCTCCGGTGTGGAGAATTATTCCACTTGGGCCGTCCAAATGGAAGACATTCTCAACGACCTCG